AATGGTAATAAACGAAAGGTGGTAAATTGAAGACTACCAGTATAGTTTTTGGAAGGCAGAGAGATTAAACAGTAATCCTCAATACTTTGAGCATATGAGCCCCAAATTCAAATTTTGAGAACTATCAATACAAAATGCAAAATAATACATAATATCCTGAACTACTTTGGCCATTTTGTCTAACGTATTCCACCTAGGTCTAGGAGCAGTTAGCAGAGTAGTGCTTGAGGAATCAACAGGACAGAAGACTGAATATATGCCACCTCAACCTTTCCTCAACTCCAGTCATAATTTCCTACATGTCACTTCTTCAGGGTTCAAAAACAGATCAGTACTACTGAATTTCCTAATAGCTTTTGGCTTGCTATTTTGCAATTCTTTGCCTTGCCCCAAAACATAGCTTAAAAGACATCAGTGATTCTGAGAAGAAATGAAACAATTTTTGCTAGATGGAAAGCTTTCATTTTCAAGCCATTCCAAGTGGTAGTGTCTTAATAGCGAAAAATACTGCCTTTCAAAACATTTAAAATGGCTAAAATTATACCGATTTCAATATGAACTCCATACATTGAATACTTATAACCTGACTAGGGCATATAGACGTTTTGTTTCAAATAATACCATACTTATTTGGTGTTTAATAATTTATATTTAGCAGATTGAAAGCTCTGTGCTCTTCATATATTATCTCAAAAAATCCTCTGGGAATGAGCATAATAAATTCTGAGCTCTCTAAGGAAACAAAAGCAGTATATTGAATCTGGTCAATTGCTTTTGATTTCTACATTCTCCCTTGCCCTTCTACAACGTGTCCCAAAGAAGTGATCTTCTCAACAGGTGCATTTGTTTCAAAAGTTTTACAATACTATGAAATGAGCTGCCTCAGCAACCTGGGCTCACATTGCCATCTTGTGGACTCTGTTGCCCAAACAAATTCCTTTCTTGATTACTCCACTTTAGTTGTTAGGAAGGCAGAACTAAACCCTCAGTCTTGACCAATTCTATATGAATGCCTTTTCCAGCTTTTAAGAATTTGGTTTACTATGCTTGTCAACATATAGATCATCCTGTTTTTATATTTTGTCATTTTCTTAATATTGATCCACTTTGGAATAGCATCATTAAGCAAATACAATGAATCATATGGATCCCTTTAGGAGCAGCACAAGTGGATACAGATGTTCAGTGCAGCTAAGATAAACCTGCATTGTATATTTACCCTCACACACTAGACTCCCATTTTTTCCCCATTCACATTATTTTGAAAACCTGCGGAGAGTAAGGTTCACATCTTCTCTTTCAATGATCTCATTTAGAATTGCAGAAGGGAAACTGTAGTTTTCTTTAGCTGCCCTAACAAATATATTACATTCCCTGCAGCTCAGCTGATGGCTGGTAAATGTAAGATGGAGTGGGCAAGGTTCCCCAGGACAACTGTTACAGCTCAGTTGGGCATATTGTCAGACATCCTGGGTGAACCAGACAGAAACCAAGACTAGATGAACTATCTACTTTATTGTAAGGCTACATTGACAGAATCTTGCAAGTCTGAAGGTGCAGACTTCTTGTTGCCACTAACTGCCTGAACAACTAGGGCAGACCCTTCTTAAGGTTCTTCCTCTGATTGTTAATCCACTGGAGGTCCTGCCTCTCTTGTTGTTTCCTAGGTAGCATCTCTTCTTCTTGTCTCCCAAGGTCATCCACATATTCCATTGCACATATAAAAGCTTCACTAAGCAAATGCAGAGAACTATGTGCCATTGGCAGACAGCCATTTCTGTAAGTATGCCACAAGTCAGAAACAAGAAATTATCTAATTTCAATGTGCAGTTTTCATCATGCCTTGAAATACTTTAGCTTACAATTATATTCATCACGAGGAAACCAGAAAGATAGCACTGGGGAAATAGTTTTAATTTTGCCTATCCTTTCTTTGTACCTAACTTCAACTGAAACATAGCCTGGCAACCTTTTTTTTCCTACCATATTCCCATGACATTGCCTTTATCTCACTCCCAGCCCATGAGTCATCCTGTTAAAGTAGCATTTTCTTCCTTATTCTAGCAAAAGCATCAATCAGATGTATAAAAACTGTTTGAATTTATCACCATTATGTTGGAAATCAGATGGCTGGTGATGTCTTGGGTACAAAGGGAATAATAGGATTGGCAATGAAGGCAATCAATTTCATGCCATGAAATTTAAAAATGGATAGCAACTCAGTGATAGGAAATAGTGTATTGTCAGCCTGCAGGTCATCCTATTCTTATTCAGCAGTACAGCAAATTCTTGCTGCTTCCTGTAGAATTCATGATGTAGATTGGTGCCCAGGGTTCCCCATTGGACTTTATGTTGGCTGTGATTTCAGGAGATTACAATCCAACAAAGCTGAATCTCCCAGTTCTGTTTTTAATGACCTTCTTGCAGGAGAGGGCACAAGCTGAAATTATGGCTTTTTGCATTTTCTAATTATCATTCTTTTCCTGAACCTAACTAAAGGTACTACCGTATTTACTACAATGGACAACCTTCAGAGCCTCCTATGTTTGCATAGTCCAAACTTCATGCCAAAAACTACAATAATTCTTGGGAGCCATTTCAGTTGGATTTTAAGCCAGGGTACAATACTGAGACATTAGTTGAAATTGTTATGACCTTTGGCGGAAACAGGATGAGGATGGTGTGTCCATCCTTGTGTTCCTTCATCTCTTGAATAATGGTGACCATAGTATCCATCTGAACTGGTTGTGTTCGGGTGGCGGGCACTTTGTTACAGTGTCTTATCTCCTTCATCAGTGGTAAGTTTTAGTACAGGGAGATTGCACCTGCATCTCCTCATGCAAGAGAGGACTTAGGGCAAGATGCTTGCTTCTTCTGTTTAACATATCTGTAAAAACACTCAGTAAGGTCATCTGAAGGTAAAGGTTCAGGATCACCAGTATATCCCTAAAGTGTTTTTTTTTTCAAAAGGCAATTGAACTTCCTTAGTTTTTTCTTGAAAATGTTTTGCTTTTCATCCAAGAAACTTTCAGTTCTGACTAAATGATGGGGACAGGAAGAATTTATATTCTTTGCAGTTACCAGGTCACTAGCACGGGTTGTTTTTATATTTATATTTGGATTTGGATTTTTTGCAGGATGTTTGCTATATTCTTTGCAGTCATCAACCAGAACCTGACAAGTGAAACATTCCCCCCCCCCCAAAAAAAAACAGTTAAGTTGGCTTAAAAAAATAATCCCTTTGGGACAACCATGACTTGGATTATTAAGAATCTTCTTAGACATATCACCAGTAAGTTTATGGTGCCCATCTCAACCGCAGTCTGTGCAGATGAAGGAATAGACTGGCTCAAAACTGAGTGGCTGTGATTATTCTGGGGCCTCTGGTTCTGAAATATTTTCATCTTTGGTCTTGGATATAATTTAGAACTCCTGCTGTACGCACAACTACTCCTTAAAGAGTAAGTGGCATCTGTGACCAGGAGGCCCTTTGTATAAGTCCATCTTGGTGCCAGCTGTATCCTTTTATCAGAGTACCCTTCAGATGATCACTCATGCCTTAATCACCTTATGATTGGACTGCTGCAATGTGCTGTACATGAGGCTGCCCTTGAAGAAATTCAGAAACTATAACGTTAACGATTGAAAGGTCTGGGCAGTAAAGGAGGCTTATAACTATGCTCATGTGCCTTCATTGTTTCCAAGTTGTATAGGTTACATTGGCTTGAATTGAGTACAATTCAAGATGCGGATCCTCAGTGATAAAGTCCATTATGGCATTGGACTAGGCTATTTGAAGGAGCACCTTTCTCCAATTGTTTCTGCTCATCCAGTATGATTGGATAGTGTGTGCATGCTCTGGTCCCTTCAGTTAAATGTCATATTACAAGTCTAGGAAGTATGTCTTTTCTCACGAATGAAGGCAAATGTGTTGTTTTCTATTGTAATTCATCTGTTGTGGAACAGCTTTCTCCTGGAGATACATATGGCTTCCACCCTTAAATCGGAGGTCGGCAATCCCTAGGCCACAGCCTGGTACTGAACCAGGGCCTGGTGGGAATAGACCTCACACAGGTGCAGGTAATCATGTGATCACATGAAGCTACATTTGTGCAAGTAGCATTCACATGCATGAAACCATCCCCCCTCTGCCCCACGCCGCCGCCTCTCTAGATCTGGAAAGGTTGGCAACTGCTGCTTTAAATGGTCCACAAGTCTCTGAAGGCCTGGATCTTCTTCCAGATCTAGTATTCAAAGACTGTTGGGTTTTTTCCTTGGGTATTTTTTAATGTTTTTTTTTCTTGGATGGACATATTTCTTTTTTAAAATACTTTTCTTTTTGGTAAATGGTAAATTGCACAAATAGTCTCCACTTTGTTCTCATGGTCTGGATTACAGGTGGTTTTTACGTAGGAACTACCGTTAAGACTGGCAACTCATTTGCTAAGTGCTTGGGCACTAGATTAAACCACTGCAATGGGCTTACATCCTTACTCTTAAAACATTAAGTGAAGCAAAAAAATCATGACTGTGACTTGCAATTTTTCTTCGACATTATTTAATGATGTTAACTATAGTCACATAATGTAAGCTGTTCCAGGTAAAGCTGCCTTTTGCAATTGACTGGTGAGCTTTTGTCTATGCCGATGGCATTATCATCGGATTCTATTCTGTTCTGTTCATTTAGGTATTGTAAACAAGGACCAGACGAATTTGCCTACCCCGCTTCTCAGGCAATTTAAGGGGACATCCACCCGCATATCATCCAGTAGTTAATACTTTTAAGTTAGCATGCACGTTGATGGCGAAATGGTTTCTGAATTTCCCGCCCACCAATCTCTTTGGGGAGTTTTGTAAGCACACCACACCCAGGCGGCGCCGGCTGATAATTCCCGGCGTTGCTATCTCTGCTGACGCATCCTGCTATCTTGGAGAGAAGCGTATAGGAGGCCCCCCACCTCTTGCTCCAAATCCTCCACCACCACCTATTCCTTGCTTAGCCACTCGCCATATGCTAGACAGATAGCGGCACCCGTCTCTCAGAGCGCATGCCCCAAGGGGTGAAGAGCGGGCGAAATGTTGCCGCGCATGCGCCGCTCGGACGATCACTCCGGGAACGACCGCGTCACTGCTTCTTCTGCGACTGACTCGACCGAAACAAGGTCGGTAAAAGGGAAGCAGGCCACAGACGGCGGACGAATGAAATCTAGAAAGCGCGGGCCTATCAAACCTTACTTCTCCCACGTGGGGTTAAGATAAGGCGGGATCTTTTCTTCGATTGCTTCCCTGAGCCAGCCAATCCGCGTTGGGATCATCCAAATGAGCGAGGCAGCTTTTGTCCCAGTGGCCAGACCTCGATCGCCGCTGACCAATCAGGAGGAACTGCGCAGGATTCTCGCGCTGAGGCGGTTGGAAGAGGCCGTTTCCCTGCGCCCTTCCCCCACCCTCCTTCTCCTCCTGTCGTGCCGCCGACGGTTGGACAGACTCGAGGCTTTTTGCCCGCCCCTTTCGGATTTGCCTCTGTCGTTGGGGACCGGAGTTGAATTACCATGAGCGAGGGCGGTGAGGACCGGGCCCCCCCATCCCCTAAGCAGCGGCGCTTAGACCCGGCTTGTCAGCTGCAAAAGGAGACGGAGGCAGCCCAAGCTCTGGCCGAGATGACGGCTTGGGGCGGCGGGAGCTTTGAAATCCTCAACCAGCAGGAGGCGCAAGGAAGCTCCGCGGCGAAATCGAGGAGCCTGGAAACGGCCGGCCCGCAGGGGGCGCGCGAAACCAGCCCTGCTGTCCGGGAGCCAAGCGCTTCGGCGGGGCAGGGGTTGGGGACTCGGTACGGCCGGGCGAAGGGAGGTGGGGGGGCGTCCTCCGACGAGGACCAAGGAAGCGCAGCGGGGGCCGTGGAACCAGCCAGGCCGAAACGGAGGAAGGCGGAAGCCGCCGTCGGGGCGAGCGACGACTATGAGGATGGCCGGGAGACCAAGAGAAAGAGGAAGGACGCCAAGGAGAGGCGCCGGGTTGCTGAGGTAGCAGCCGAGGACGAGTGCTCCGTCATTTCGGTGGGGGAGGAAGAAGAGGACGAGGACGACGACGAGGAGGAGGAAGAGGAGGAAGAGGAGGGAGGAAAACAGCAACCCACTCGCAAAACCGAGCAGTACTTGGAAGCCTTGGAGGCTGTGCAGCTGGAACTGGAAGCTGTAAATCAGCAGGCCAACCGTGCCTTTGCCCACCTCAAAGCAAAGTTCAGTCACATGCGGCGTCCACATCTGGAGCGGCGCAACATCATCATCCAAAACATCCCCGGTTTCTGGGTCACTGCTGTATCCTGTCATTGCTGCTAGCTGTTGGGGAAGGGTTGCTAGAGATGAGAGGGAAATACAGTACAATCCAGTATTGCAAAGGATATGAACCACATTTTGAGGCTCTGTTATGCTGAGTTGGTCATTAATCCATGTAGTAATGGGCTAATGCCACATTTTTCCTCTATAAAATATTTTATTAGGGGCTCTACACTCGAGGAAATAATGGGGGAAAGTTAAATGTGTGGACTTTGGGAATGTACTTTAGTACATGGCAATGCTGCATAGAGGTTTAGAATGTCTTTGCATTATATGTGTATCCTGCCCTCTTTCTGAACAGTTTAGAATGGTTTTTTTTTCCTTGACATTAATTTTGCAGTTTCTCAATCATCCTCAGCTTTCAGCCATGATCAATGACAGGGATGAGGACATTTTGAGCTATATGACTAATTTGCAGGTGATTTCAACAAAGTTTTGCTTATATTTATGTAGTATATATTGGAGCTGGTGACCCTTTGAGAGTTGTACGCAATGAATTTCATTTTAATGTATGCCAATTAGTGTACATTTAAAGAGACTAAGTCTAGAAACTAGCTTGAAATTGAATTTATCAATGAAAGCAATTAAATTGCTGTTGAGATTTCTGAATTCTTTCCACTTGAAAGTCCCCATAGTGAGTCAAGGGTAGTAAATTGTAACTTGCTACTCTGTCAGTATAGGCTTTTCCAGCTAGTATTATGGTGATGAACTCTTAGGCTAATGTTGTAGTGTAATTATTTGCATCCTGACATTTTTCCAGACACTCTGACAGTACCTTGCTAGTGTTATGATTATAGTGTTCTTTGATACATAGGTTATGGATTTCACCCATGCAAAGTCAGGCTGCAAGATCAAGTTCTACTTCAGCAGCAATCCCTATTTCCAGAATGAAGTCATTGTGAAGGAGTTCCAGTGTGGTTCCTCTGGTATGCACAAGGAGATAGTTTTGAGGGATGAAAGGTCAGATTTGACATGCATTTCTTTACAGCTGTATGGTTTTTCCCCGTCCTTTCCAGGGAGATTAGTTTCTCATTCTACACCAATTCGCTGGTGGCGTGGCCAGGATCCACTAGCTCATGGCCAGAAGAACTTTGAAATGAGCCGCAGCTTCTTCAGTTGGTTCTGTGACCACAGCTTTCCTGCAGGAGATCGCATTGCTGAGGTGGGACTATCCTGCGTATCATTGATGAAAACTTGCACCCCAAATGTTACTCAAGCCTCAGGATCCGCCATTGTCAGCACTGGTGGGCCACACCCTCTAAAATGTTTGTTGCATCCTTATGCCTTTTTACCTGTCACATTCTTCTGTTTTCTCTAGATCATTAAAGAAGACCTGTGGCCCAATCCACTTCAGTACTACCTGATGGGGGAAGGTGGTGAAAATGGTGAAGAAGACAGGTAAGAATCAGGCAGTTGCTTGGTTCCTTGTTATGGAGATTATAGTATAAGTGATATTTTTGGCAAGAATCTAAGCCTGCCATTGTGTGTGGATATAGATTTTTGTCTAGGTTTGTGGCAGCAGGACGTAGGAGGAGAGAACTAAAGAGACGTAGGAGAAGTGGACTTCGTGAAGAGAGGGCTTCGTGGTATACAGCTGGGAAGTCTGCAGAAGATGATAGATAAATGGTGATACACTCCCTCCTTCCCTTATGTTTAGTGAGACAGAAAATGGTGATGACTTTGTTGTGATTGTGGATGATGATGGCGAAGATGAGGAAGATGGGGTGGCAGATGTCCATGAGATCATAGATGAAGAAGAGACTGGGCAAGGTAAGTAATGGTGAACTACAACTACTCATAAAATGATACAGCCTTTGGATCTGAAATGCAGAATAATTATGAGTCATCCAGAATTTGTTATAAGATGGGCAGCTATATAAATGTTTAAGCAGGTAAATAAATACATGCCTGATACAGGTAGTCCTTGACTTATAACCACAATTGAGCCCAAATTTCCATTGCTAAGCAAGACAGTTGTTAAGTGAGTTTTGCCCCATTTTATGACCTTTCTTGCCACAGTTGTAAAATGAATCACTGCAGTTATTAGTAACACGTTTGTTAAATGAATCTGGTTTCCCCATTGGCTTTGCTTGTCAGAAGGTTGCAAAAGGTGATCAATAACACCAGGATACCGCAACCGTCATAAATACATGCCGGTTGCCAAGTGGCCAAATTTTGATCACATGGCCATGGGGATGCTGCAACGGTCATAACTGAGAAACAGTTACAAAGTTACTGTTTTCAGTGCCATTGTAACTTCAGACGATCACTAAACAAATGGTTGTAAGTTGAGAACTAGCTTACTTTGCTGTTCAGTCCTAAAGGTTCAGAGCGGCTAACAATCAGGGACTTCATAAAAGTAAAAAAACTCAGTAAAAATACATTCATAGAAAAAGAAGAAAAACCTCAACACCACAAGAAGTAAGAAAAAACATACAAACTCATATGCCCATAAATGCATTCCTATACTGTATTCAAACCATGTCTTCTTCCTGGGCTAAATGGGATTTTCCTGAAATCCAGAAAGAAAATGTAGAGCAGATCTCTCTGTAGAAAGGGAGTTTTAAATTGTGGGAACAGTGACTTAAATGCCCATTTTCTAGGTTTCATCATTAGCAATCTCAAATAGAGATGATGAATGATAAAAGATCTTAAAGGTGACGGTCAGGACCTTGAATCCCACCAGAAGCTAATTGGAAGCCAATGCAGGTCCTGAAGCAGTGTGGTCACTGAGGTATAATGATAAATGCCTGCCTAGGTTGCTGCATTCTGCAGCAGCAATAGCTTTTGAATGCTTTTCAAAGCAGCCTCATGTAGCATGCGCTACAGTAATCCAAAGTAGAGGTGACTGGAGAATGGGTGACTGAGCAAAGATTCCTAATTTGCCCTAATTGGGCAATAGCCTTTCCTTTTAGAGTTGTCACCAGCTACTTGAGCAAAAGCTTTGAGTTCAGTAGGACTACCAATTTGCCCCCCACCTCTGAGCAGGGACACATAGTCTTAATTCAGAGCCAAAGATGAGAATGTCCTGAAGTCATTGGCCTACAGACTCAAATGAAGAATTCAGAATCCATTCCTTCCTTGAGAAAGTCGAAGCATCAAGTCAGCACTTCTATGGCATCATCTGTTTGATGATACAGTATCTGTATATAACTAGACAACAGATGCCTAATCTCCTTTCAGTAAATGACCTGTCCCAGCAGTTTCATGTAGATTAAAGGAAAGTGGGGAGAAGAGTCTAAGATGTTTCACAGAGGAGAGATTTCCAGATTTTCTCCCAATCAACTTACTGAAGAGCAATGTATCTCCACCTCCACATCATTATATCTTATAGTGGAGGTCTTGGGATTCAGTCAATTAAATACTGGAAACATGGGCAAAGAGGGAGTATTTTTCATCAGCTGCTTCAAATATTGACATATCTTATTTACTAACACAGGTGAAGTAGTGGAAGAAGTATTAAGTGGCCAAGAAGATGATAATGCTGGATCCAAGTCCTCCCCAGAGGAGCCAGATGGGAAGGATTCCGAGGTGGAAGAAGATGGCTAGATTAGCTTATAAAAGAACAATGTGTTTGGTTGGACTTTCCTATGGGGACCTCAGTGGCACTTTGATGCTGACCAGTTGCACTTGGACATGGCAAAAATGGGGGGTATCAGCAGCGGTCACAGAGATTATTTTGTATCTTTATTTATTGTATTGACTGCATTTCTCTCTCTGCCCTTCTGGGGGCACTATGTGCAAGCACCTCCTTAATTGTTTGATGCTTAGCATCTTCTCCTACCTGCCTGTGTGGGGGCTGTACGCTTATTTGCCCTGTCCCCTGGTGGCTACTCAGGGTCTTGTCTGCCCAGAGGCCTTTTTAAAACAGCTCAGGGTTTCCTTTTTCCATTCAGCATTATTAAGCTGCTGGCTTTTCGCACCTTCCCTGAACTTCTGCTTATAAGGATTGGACTCCCCCTGTATATATTTTAGCTTTAGTATGCCTGCTAGTGGCCGACCAGTGCCTCATGCCATCAAAACATAATCCCAGCCTTGCTTTTCTCACATTGAGGGTAGGGCCTAATCAATTGGGACTCATCCATTGCCAATGCAGGGTTCTGCCATTCAAACTCACTTTGTAATAGCTCCTGTTGTTCTAAATGGCAACCTTGCACCCATTGGCTTAGCTGAAGCAATAATAGCTCTCTGGTTGTACAGTATTTTCCTTGAGGTTATTAATGCAAGGAAAAGGGCTGTGATGATGGCTTATTTTTGTGTTTGATACTTTCTCCAATGCTCCAGTCCATGAAAGCAATGGCAAGATGTTTCTAGCAACAGTGTGTATATGTGATTTTATGCTCTGGTGTACTTTATGTATAACTGCAGACAATTTCCTAGCAATGTTCCTAAAGCAGCATACCCGGTTGGATTTGCCCATTCCCTATACCCCACAGAGGCTGTTCTATGCAATGCTACTGATATTTGTAGAAAGGCAACCATTTTCCTTGGCTGATTTTTTTGTATATTTCGTATCAGGACTTTGTACTTTTTTTATTATAAAAAAGCACTTAATGTACAAAGCGCTTTCCAACATGGCGTGTGACTTTTATTTTGGACATCTAAAGCCTCATATTCTGTGCTCATAATGCATATGTAAGTGAGGGTATGCAGACAAGTTATACTATATATGCTTTACTGTGTAACCGAGTTTTGTTTCTGTTCAGGAGAACTGGCATGGAGTAAATAATGAAGAGTATGAGTTATGAAAGAAAAAATGTGAATATGATATTTTGCATCACTAAATGAAACATCCATGAGGGATTATGATGTCACTTCCCATTCAGTTGTTAAATCAATGCGGGTTTGACAAGTAGCTGCATCACAGCAACTTGCAATTTTACTGTTGGTTTCTCCATTGACTCTACTTGTTATAAGCTAGTAGCAAAGCGTACAAATGTCAATCACAAGACAGTGGGACACTGACAATTGTAAATACCTTCCCAGTTGTGCAACATTCAAGTTTTCACATTACTGCAGGCTGGTCATAAAATTATTTTTTCAGTGCTGTTGTAAATTTGTACAATTGCTAAATAGCCAGTTGTTAAGCATAGTCTGGGTCTAACTGTATATAACTAGAATTTTTTCTTTTGAGCTGTTGGTACTTCATGCTGATACATTTCTACAATACTAAAGAACTCAAAAATCTAAACATTATATTGGAAACGCTTATAATCGCAGAACACCAGAAACCTTGATGGTAAAAAAATATTAGTAAATTCTAGAACAGTACTTTTAAAAAAGAAATACTGAGAAATTCATTCTTCGTGTAAAAAGTCCGGACCTAATAACTTAAAAATGGTTCAGTGTGGCTTTTTTATGGAATAAATTGCATTTAGCATCTTTAAAGGGAGTGGGGGGAAATAATCCAATCATTCTTAAGCATCAAACTAAATATGCTTATGTATTTTTTGATGTGTGGAGAAAGGTGTGGAGACTAGCTCATTAGGACAAACTATTGTAACTTCAACTTCTCATAGTATATGAGAAGGTTGATAATGGGAAGCATTTAAACATGCAGTCCTTTTTCTGTGTTCTGAAATGATTCACCTTGGAAATAAAGTAGAGGAACTGAAGATTATATACACAAATACATACATACACATCTGACTGCTTGAAAATTCAAAAATTGGTTACAAAGCAAAATAATAAATTTACTCTTTTCGATACCTTGAAATACACTTTTCCCATTTGAAAGGTTATCTTGTAATTTATGTTAATATTTATGAATACAGAGTTGTTTTTAAGCATGTGTGTGTTGGAGCTTCATGGCTAGTGAATACTTAAGTGCATTTATTATTGGCACATCCTGTTCTCTATAATGGTTAATTTCAACTTGATGCATACATGACTAGAAAATTCTATATTGATAGATACTGTAGCTTACCAATTACATTTAGCAGCTGTCATTTATACAGTAGTTATATTTCCTGAAATCTGTTGCATAGGTCAAACTCATTGTAAATGAAAGCTGCAGCTATCACACTACTTCATGAATGATTTGGATTATAGTTATAAATTTTGCCAGTTGCTAATAGCCAGTGACTGATGTACCTGTTTTTACTTCCAGTTAATCTAGAGAGTGATGGGGTAGGATAATAAAATGATACAAAACATTCAGTCCACACAAACAACAACTTAAAGCAAACTGGAAAGAAAAATTTCTATGTTGCCATTAAGTGATACAATTCCTCTGGATTGGATATTTTTCTCTGTTGTGATCCAGATTGAAATTTGTAGACCCCAACTAATGATTTTATTTATGGTCTCCTAGATATTGCATATAATTAACATTTAGGAGCAAATATTGATTTTCCAAAGTCAAGACTTTTGAATTTCTATCCATATTTTCTGCTTTTTTATGTTCTTTCATAGCCATCAGCATAACTAATTGTATATATTAGCAACTTTGACCATGGATTTTTTTCTTTTAACGTGGTAAATTTACATCATCATCGTAAAATTGATAACCAAATGTTTATCTTAATGCTAAACCTAGTAATTTCTAGAACCAATCTTAGTTGTTTTCTATTGCCCTCTTTCCAACTGAGCAAATTAGAGAGTGAATATTGCTACTAAATACTTAATTTTACAAGGAGTCATGAAGCAAAACTGAAAAAAATCTGATTTAGGTTTACAATACATTAAATATCTCAATATACATTTTTATAAAGTTTTACATACATTTTTCTTAAAACTTATAATACTGGTACCATCCTTCCCAAATCCTGAATTCCCATAATTCTAAAATTTCATGTCTCATACTTCCTCACATAGCTGGAAGATATCAGAATGGAGAACATACTTGCATAAATCTGAATTTGCTATTAAAAGCATGTTTGACATTTATAGGTTATCTTTGCTCTCTGATACCTAATGTAAAATGGGGTTACACATTTATGCTCACTTGACAAGCAATAGAACCACCTAAATATATTAAAAGAAAATCATGGCTTCTACTATGTTAACTTTAGCCATAAGCTTATTAAGCATTAATATTGCTGAGAAAAATAATACAATTGAATGAAAATATTTACACATCCATAATCCTGGATTCAATGGAGAGTAACTTGTAAGTTCCGCTCTTGGTTACTTTTGGGGCTCATCTATGTGGTTTTCTTAGCACCAATATACAAGTAGATTGCTATTACCTTTTTATAGGGTATTTTTTTGGACTTTTTAACCATAGTTTAGCTTTGTAGTTTCCCAGCCAAATACCTAACTGCTCTCGATTTGCATAGTATCAGAATAGGTCCACTTCAATCATCAGCATAACCACCTACCTGTTTTTTTCAGAGTTCTTAACGTCTGTAATTTTACACACTCCAAGGGAGCGATTGAGCTTAGCTGAATACTGTCGCAACTCTCTCTTTAGAGGCACTCTTGCAAAAAAGAACAGCGTCCTAATGCTGCCTATGTAAGATTGCGCCCTAACGTCCAGAACCAGAGTAAAAACAGCCCTTTTGCCAAATTAAGAGGGTCTTCATCGAGACCTGACCTGACATCAACATTTGGAGATAAAGCCAAAGAAAAAACGGGTTTCTGTGGCTAAGGGCAGCGCTTAGTACAAGTCCAATCAAAGTGAGGACTTTCGTAAACCTAACGTACCTTATCATCAACCAAATTTAAACCGCCTCTTCCGCTTCCGCCTCCGCCTCATTAGGAGGTAGGACTTGAAAGTTGAGTCTTTGCGGAGCGGCATGGCGACAGCAATGAGGAGCCTGAAGGTAATAAATAGGCAATACTATGTGGGACGCCGCGACTGGACTTGGGCATGGAGGAGGCGGGGGGGGCGAGGATCCATGTTAATACCGAGGGAGATCTAATTCTGTTCGCGGTAGGTAGGGAAGGAGAAATTGGGGGAGAACCCACCCCCCATCATCATTGAGTAGGGAAGGGGACCAGAGGGATTAATTTCCCGTCGCGGGGAGCGGAGAGGAGATCCTGAAGGATACATTCCATTTTAGAAGTCGGAGTTTTCTATGTAATTATCCTAAGAAATAATGTAGAGTAGGAAGTGCAGTACAATCAAAGCAAATACAATACATAGGGCATAGATTACTTTCAACTGTAGAGTAATTTCAAGCATTTTTCCTAATCTAGCACAGCGGTAATATTAGTCAGATCAAATATTGTCCCAAAGGTGCTTTTCCAAAAGACAACTGGCCTTTTTTGGTATTTTCCTTGAAAACGTTTCTCTTCTGGGATTGGAAAAGCACCTTTGGGACAACCAGTACCTGGATGATTGAAAATCTCCATAGGATCAAATACTGCCGCTGCCAAGAAGTGTTCTTCCAGCTGAACACTTATTTGATAAAACATGGAAGAAACCACCTCTTGTACCTTTCTGAAGGTTATGTGAGTTTCTCTGCCCTTTAACTGTTGGATGAACAAATGCAAATAAAAACAGCCTCCCCTTTCCTCCCCCCCCCCCAAAAAAAGGAGTTATGGAATTAGTTTCTGTGTCTCATACAGACAGATGCCAGGTAGTTTTGATGGGGAAATTGTGTATTTATTTATTTCATTTAGTTTACTTTGTCAAGCATGTATGAGAAAACAAGTATAAGTATGAACATTACATATAAACATATAAGTATAAACAGGTACATGGGAACAGTAGGACAGGGACGGTAGGCAGGCTGGTGCCCTTATTCACACTTCCTTACAGACCTCTTAGGAATGGAGGGAGGCCCATGGAAGACAGTTTAAGGTTTGAGAGGTTTGAGGATGTAACAACAGAGTCAGGTGGTGAGTTCCAGGCATTGACCATTTTACAAAGTGACCACTTTTCTGTACTAAACTTGTCCAGGATAAAGCTGTTTTCCCAAATGGCCACGAGGCGATTCTGTTACCATTGGTGCCTGGAGAAAAAGATCCAGGGCAAAGGAGGGGAGGAAGGACTTGAGACTCATTACTCTTGCTCAGCCCCCCCCCCCTTGTTAAGTGCTGGAACAAGACACATTAAGTTGACATCCCCCCTCCCCCTCCCCCTCCCCACCACCCTGTAGATTTTGTGTTGCTCCCTGCACCTACATCACGTAACTCCTAACCGACGGAGAGGCTTGTTTAAAAAAAAGGGGGGGGGAATGCCAGGGCAGCGAAGCAGATTGGGATGCGGGGGGCGGGGGGGGACGACAAAGTACAGAGAAGCGGTGTTGGAGTCTGCGCAGCCCACAAGTAGATGTTTTTTTTCCAACTGGGAGAAGAATGATTCACTCTAGTCTATATGAATGAAAGAAAAGTGAAGATTCCCTCGGCCATCTCCCCCTCTCCTCCTCCTGTTTATCCTCCTGCATTTTAAAGCCACCTCTTGCCAGTTACCCTTTGGCACGGCTGGCGCACATAGACCCTCCGACTAAGCTAACAGTGACCCCCTCCTTCCTTTTGGCATGAAGGATTTCGACAGGATGAGAAGTGAAGGTTGATTCTTCAAGAACTGGGGAGAAGGGGAGAAAGAGAGGAGGTGGAGGCTGGGGCGATCACACACCTTCCTTCCTTCCCATTTGCCCTCCGATTAGTTGATTAGATCCAGCTTTGGAGTGTTTTGCTGCGAGCCACCTCCACCATCCCCCACCTCTGCCCAGGAGCGTCCAGGTTGACACACTGTCTGCTGTTTTTCTTTTTAAAAATTTGATTTTGTAGTTATGAGAAGAATGCGATTGTTTGTATTGCATTACCAGTCGTACTGCCTATCAAATCTGCTTTATTTGTATCCCAACTTTTATTTTTACAAATAACTCACGGTGGCAAATATATCCAACACACTTTCCTTCTCCTATTTTCTCCACAACAATGTGAGGTAGTAATCTTATTATTTTCTTTACCCACTAGAACATGGTTGGCTTTGTGACTGGTGGGGCTTCTGGACTGGGCCGTGCCACAGTGGAACGATTAATACAACAGGGAGGCAGTGCTGTGATTGTGGACCTGCCAACGTCTGATGGTGAAAGCATAGCCAAGTCGCTGGGAGACAGATGCATCTTTACTCCAGCTGATGTAAATATTGTTTGATGGGGAGCTGGGGCTTTCTCCTCAGGTGTGTATAGGGATGTGGAAAAAGAATGTAACAGCAGACCTGGATCATTCTCTCAAAACTGTCTTTATTCAGGTGACATCAGAATTAGATGTGAAGGCTGCACTGACCACAGCAAAGGATAAATTTGGACATATAGATATGGGAGTGAACTGTGCTGCGGTTGCAGTGGCATTTAAGACATACAATGTGCATAAAGATCATTCTCATAGTTTGGAGGACTTCCAGAGAGTCATCAATGTGAGTATGTTGTGAGGACATTTTAACTCATTATACAGTTGTTATTTGATCTTATTCCAAATACTTCCAACTTATTATTTTTAAATTAACATGGCTGCCTTAACAATAAAAAACAACACAGATGTAATCATCAGCTGAGGTAAAAATAGAATCAATACAAACATTGCATGGCCTCTGCCACACACAGGGATTTTCAAGCTGAGTGAAAAAAAAACCATGCCTTGCTATAGGCAAGTAGGGTTGGGACCAGTATGATCTCTGAGAAGGATGATCTTCCAAAGAATGGGTACCATAACAGAATAAACTCTCTTCCTGGGCCCTACCAGATAGTGCTCCTTAATAGACAGACTCGGAGCATGTATCTCCTGCCAGACCTAATGGGGAAGGAAGGACTTCTATAACTTACCAGTTAAATTGCATTAAAATTTTTGCAGTGCTCTTCTTCAGGACTTAAGCCAACTAATATGCTGTTTTCCAGAATAGTTTATTTTATGCCTTTTCACCACCCAGTTCTTAGCTCCTCTCTACTTCTTATCAGCTGAGCAAGTTTCCTGGGGTTTTTAATGGTTTTTCTAAGCTCAGGGTTTTTAATCCAGGTTTTTTTCTTGAGAATATTTTGCCTTCTCCTAAACCTGCAAATTCCTCATTGGATGTAGATGCTTTCATAATAGCTACCTAAACATTGGCAGAATTGAATTTTCTGTTAGACGACCATTCAGAACGAAGGCGTAGTTATTTGCTTGGCCATGAGTTTCTTCTGTTGTGCTGATGCAATGACCTTCCTTGGCAGTACTGGCTTTGGTGAGGGAAGCATAATCAAGATTTTGAGTTCTTGGATTTCATTTGTGTTTTTCAGGTCAATATTGCTGGGACCTTCAATGTGATTCGTCTGATTGCAAGTGTGATGAGTAAAAACGAACCAAACAAAGATGGAGAGAGAGGAGTGATTATCAACACCGCCAGCGTGGCTGCCTATGAGGGCCAGGTAAAGCCTGAGCTAAACTTTCTTTAGTCAGCAGTAGCTTCATTGGCAAAGGCCAGGAATCTATAATTTGAACAGAATGCGTATTGAACACGTCAATATTCTTACAATACAGGAGCATTAAAGTATGGCTGCTTCAGAAACCAGATTTTGGGGAGGGGGCAAAATCAGTTATCATATCAATATAGCCAGAGAGTTTGCATTTTTGTAATGGGAATTAACCATTAACTCGATTAAGTGACCTTCTAGGCCTGAAGGAAAATAGAACAGTTGGGCTAGGGGAGAAGGAATGAAATGGCTTATGCTCTTTGGTGTGGAGTTTCGGCATGTCATGCCTCATGTGTGATTTTTAAATGCTCACCTGCATTAAACCTACGTTTGAAGTTAGTTGGCCCCAGCACTTTTATTTCCAGTTCTCTTTCTTTCTTGTCATTTCCTTTCCCTTGGCTCTCCTTAACTCAGCAAGTTTATCACAATGCTGTTTGACATTCCAATCAGAACTTTCCTTCTGTGTTTCAAAACACACTTCTTCTGCTTATGACCACTTGTTCAGCAATTGCTCAGAGTTATGATGGGGCTGAACAAAGGGACTTACAGCTGGTCCCCAAAATTATAGCAGTTCATAGTGCCCCTGCAGTCACGTTACCAAAATTCAGGAGTTTTGCAGATTGCCTGCACTTACCATTAGCCTTTAATGCCCTAATTGATTTTTGCCGTCTTCTTTCTCCCACTATTGACAAAGCTCACTCTGGCCCTTCACAAGGCAGCTACTGGCCACATTCTTCCCCAGGAAGCGCATGGCAGTTTCCCAATGAGATCCGGGGAAGAGCCTCACATGGCCATCAGCTGTCTTGGAAAAGGGCCAGATCAGGCATGCCAGCAGTCGGAGTAAGAAGAGATGCTGAAAGTTAGCTAGGGGTGATAGAGTGCAGAATGGAAAGGGCGACTGAGCTAGGCCAGCTGCAGTTTCCCAGGACAGCAAGAAGCCCATTTATATCCTTCCTGCTGGACTGGGCTGGGCTGCAGCTCAGGGGTTTCTTTTTTTCTTTTTGGCATGACCCATGGCATGCGAGAAAAAATCGCTGCACTGCTAAGCCAGGATGGGACTGGGCTTTGCAATGTCCTATATCTTAGGGGTTTCTTGAATACGCAGAGATGTGTGTTATATCTCACCTGGACAAAGTAATAAGTCCAAATTTCCAACTGAAAAACAAATAAGCAGGCAAGTCCGGTAACTACGGGGTTAACTTCCTTAATCTGAAAACATTCTTGGCAGTCTCACGCCAGCTGTCTGCCAAGTCTGATAAGGAAGCATAAATCACAAGCTGACGCCACACACAGGAAAAATGCAGAAGCTTCTCTCATGAAACAAGTTGTCCCAAACAAGAAACCAGAGCTAACATGCCCACTTTTATTCCCTGTGGGGCGTGTCAGTCTCTCATCTCAGTCTCTGATTTGTCCTTTCTTTTTACGTTGCATTTCACGCTTTTGCCTGCGTCTTTGCCTTGCATCAAACCAGCATTCCTCGGCTTGATCCTCTGTCAGAGGCTCTGATACGTTCTCCTGATTATCTGCCGACACCTGAGGCACAATCAGGGGGGAAGATCCTGCCGAGGAGGGCAGTCCTGGGGAGGAAGGAAATTCCAAATCCTCTAACAAAGCAGGCTCAAACCTCAGAGCCAAATCTTCCCCTTCCGCACCATCTGAGTCTGTGTCCTCTAGCAAAGCGGGGTCAAACCTCAGAGCCAAATCCTCCTCTTCCTCATTTACCAAGTCCTCGACCTCTGACAAAGCAGGCTCAAACCTCCGAGCCACAACAGATGTGTATGCCAAGAAGCCTTGGAGTTGCAGTGTATTCTTTTCCCAGCTTCCCTACGTGCACACCCATGCATTCATGCATGCTGCATCCTCTTTTCCCTGGCCTCTGAGCTTGGATCGCGCTGCAGACTCTTCCCCCCAACTCTTGCATGGTTTGTGCTGGGCATCCCAGAGTTTTTCCCATTCTCCCGTGGCACCCCCATGCTCTTTACCTGGAGCTCCCTCCACCTCCCAACACATCTGGAATTATAACGACAGAGAGGGCACCAAGAATTGCTGTAGTTAAGCAACATGATCATGTGATGCCATACTTGATGATCACATCACTTAGCAAGAGAAGTTCCAAACCAAAATGTGGCCGTAAATTGAGGACTTATCTTTATTTACTTAGCAAGTGATTTTATTATGTCATTTTGAGGCAACTAAGTCCTTTTTCTTCGTTATGCAGGTCGGACAGGCTGCCTATTCAGCTTCCAAAGGAGGCATAGTGTCAATGACCCTGCCCATCGCCCGAGATCTTGCCTCGCTTGGCATTCGTGTTGTTACCATTGCACCAGGTAACCCAAACCACCCCGAATCTAAACCCTAGGAGGGAAAATTCAACCTTTTAAAAGGTGTTCAGTCCTAAAATGGCAGGACTATTTGCATATGACCTTGGCCTTCCTCAAAAACTGAAGCCTTACAGTTACATATTATGCAAACTTTCATTTTCATAATCAATTTTGAATGTTTTACGAATTTACTTTATTTTGTTGGCTTAGTAGTTCAAAGGCCTAGTCATCAATCCCTTATCAGATCTCAGATTTTAGCAGTGCATGGCACAAGATTATTAGGAAACTGAACTCCATGCTTAACTCCTGGAGCACCCAGTACGTTATGGGCTACTGCTTAATAAGGGTGACAGTGTGTGGCACCAGGAGCAGCAGCATCCCTGAGCAGTTTTTGTTTCTTCCAGGGCTCTTTGAGACACCTCTACTGGGGACACTTCCTGAAAAAGTTCGGACATTCCTGGCACGACAGGTGCCTTTCCCAAATCGCCTTGGGGCTCCAGACGAATATGCTCATCTGGTACAATGCATAGCGGAGAATCCTATGCTAAATGGTGAAGTAATTCGGCTTGATGGGGCTATCCGAATGCAGCCCTGAGCCATAGCCCAAGTCTGCAGGAGAAAAAAAGATGGTCCTCCTTGGATCATAATCACAGGATTGAAATCAAGGTTGGCAAAAGAAATGATTAACATCTGACTTTCAATAAATCACTGATCAGATATTGTTCTTTTCTTTCATTTGCTAGCATAAGCTCCCCCTGACCTACACACCCCCATTACTATAGCCATACTGAAAACTATATTTTGTATGCATCTCCAATTTCTTTTTTAACAGACTTCTGTCTAATTCTGAAGAACAGATTCAATTGTTTCTGGCTAAGGTCACATGATTGTCCTGATTTATTTAATCATGGTTTATCAAACCACAGGTGTCCAGATATCGACAAAAAGTTATGTTGTAAACCATGGTTTGTAGTTATTGATTGCAAAAATCACTGCATAACTTTCAACGAGTAAGCCTGTTAGGGTAACGATGTCTAGCTCTTCTGTCACTGCATGTCTGTATTTGTCAACCCACTTGGTGTGTGTGCGCGCGTGCGTGTGCGGTATTTTTTTTCCGGGCATACTTTCTAATATATTTTAAAGCAGGGAATGAGATGAAAGGTAATGTAAATTGCTATTTCTACACTCTGTAAAAATCAGATTAAAAGCAGTGTTTAATAAATGCAACTTTCAGGGCTGTACATGTTGTGAAAGTGATTTAGAAAACACACTTTAGACTTAGTGCAAGCCCAATACTTTTCTGCTCTTCATTAAAGCAGCCTGAAAATTTGCTTTTTCATGCTTGTGCTGAGGCCTGAAAACAGTCAGGTTGCTTTAATGAAGAGAAAGATAAGGGCCAGGTTAATTATGCTTCTTTTGAATCCTTTTCAAAGTGCACAGAGTTTTGCCCCAATTTTTCAGGGTTTCTGAAGTGTTCTCCCAAATGCCATTTAAAGGATATATGGTAACAAATAGTACATATATCTGGTAAATTGAACTATTTCAATACATAGTTCTTTGGTCTTATGACTTTTCTCAACTATGATTCTGCTCATGTAATATTCATTTCTCTTATAAAGAAGAGTGAGTATAAAATGTCTCAAGATAGCCAAATGCAAAGGAAACCTGGAAAGAGGGGGGTGGAGAACAGAGGAGGAGGAACAGCTGTTCAAAGGGAAGTCCCAAAACACGAGTGGCAGGAAAATTCCAATCCTAGTTCAGCAAAATCTTTCTTTTGAAATAAAATTCAGATCTGATCTGGGGATTTCATATAAGGATTTTATTGCTCTTTTCTTTGGAAAGAATGAATGGTGACTTCTCTGGAGCACAGCGATTTGCTTGGTTCCAGTCATCAACTTATGTTCATACACTGATAGTCCTTGCTTACTGACTGCCTTGGTCAGTGACTGTTTGCAGTTATGATAGTGCTGAAAAAAATAACTACAATCGATGCCTGAATTTATAACCTTTGTACAGTAACAACCCTCGGTCATGTGATTGCCATTACACTGACTAAGCATTGTCCTGTGCCTGGTTTTTGTTCTCTCCCCATTGCAGAGTGGAGAGGATGGAGTGGAAGGGATTACAAGAGAGTAACCATACATCATAGAGAATACACCGGGTGGTGTGCATAGTGTATTTATGGCTGCCAGCGCCACTGCACTCTATTCAATGTGTAGTCCCTATTTTGTGCCTGCTTACTCTCTTGTAAACTCTTTCTCTCCAGATTAATTCCATCCTTGCTAATTATCTCAGCACTGGGATGAGCATTCCAAAGGATGGAGGAATGGCTAGAAGGCAAATTATGAAACTGATTGGTCTTGTTAGTTCCAAATTGGCTATGTAGGTAGGCAAAGGGGCCAGAGCTGAAAAGGGAATGCACAATTTTCCACATATGATTTTCCACTTAGGGACTGCTTTGCTTAAGGACAGAGCTGCCAGTTTCAACTTTGGTCGCTTAACAAGGACTACCTATACTATAAGCACAAATTGGATAAAATACGCCTCATAATACAAGCGCTACAACTTGTATCCTACATGTAAGTTTACAATTGCAGCATTTGCTGGATAATATTGTCACCACACATCTGTCATTTTGGCTTGTTTGCAAATGCAGATAAATGTAAACTTAACCTGGGATTTCCCCATGTGAGGTCAAGAAGTGAACCCTGTGGGGTTTGATCATATGGTGGCTCTTGTTAAGGAGATAACAAGCAAACTATTATGAATAAAATCATCAGGCAATAAATATTTGACATTTGGATTCTTTGAATATGGAGGTTTTGTGTAATGTTTCATATACCAAACATCTGATCTTGAAAGTACCCCTCCCCAAATTGCAAAGCTCTACATAATCACACTGAAACAGGCTCAGGCTACATTTGAGGCAACGGCTGATATCTCTTCTACAGCTACTAGAGATGTCCTTTGTCCATAAGAAAATCAACTTTATTTTGCGTACCAAAACTGTTGCCAGCTGCATCTCCCATCAGCGGCTGCTAGTATTAAATTGTAAATAATAGTGGGCTGTAGGTGCATTGGTATAGACTTCTTTCTCCAGATACTTCAAGCTGTCAAAGAAAAGAATGTAGTCAGATTGCATGGAAAAGATTATTGCCTCATTTGTCCCAGGGCTGAAACCTTCACTGACAGAATTTAATCTAGGAATACATAAAAACCAGACGTGTATAATGCATTTCTATAATTGAGTAACTACAGATAGCCATCTTGATGCCTCTGGTTTCCTGGCTGAGTAGGTGAGTCTTTTTAGACAGTTATGAGCAGCATTTTTTTTTTTAAATGCAGCCGGTGGGGGAAAAAAAGGCTCAGAAAGATATGAAAATGTTTCACTTCCAGTCTGCTTGGTTCCCCCCCACCCCCAGCATATAGCTTTCCATCTGCAGCTTAATTTTGAAGCCAAATTATTATTAATGAAATCTATGTACCTCCCAACAAATATAATTGGTTCACAAATAATCATCATTAATAAAACAATATGGGAATAAACAAGAAGGAATCAAAGAGAGCAAACGAGACAGGAAGAAAAACAAGCCCACACGGCCTAATGGGGCTTTTAATCACTCTTGCCAAAGGCCTAGATGAAGTACCAGGGCTTTCAGGCCTTTTGAAATATCAGCGAGAGGGTGGGGGGTGAGCTGGATCTTGGGGAAGCTCATTCCAGAGAGCAGACATTGCAACAAAACAGGCATATTCTGGAGGCCTTTCAGATATTACTTTTGAATTGGAAGTATCATCTTACCAATGTCTCAATCTGTTGCCCTCTAGACTACCTCAAATCCAGGCAAATGCATTTCACACTTCCGTGGAATCCTACTTACTTGGATTTCTGTGCATCAGCCAATTCTCGGTTGTAATCGTCCAGGCTCTTCTTCAGTTGCTCACGGAAATTCTGTTCTTGCTCCTCCATCTGCATGGCTGCACGAGCTGCCAGTTCCCCCTGTCTGTCCCACTCAGCATCCCGTTGCCTTTCCAGTTGCCGAAGTCTCTGCAGGGGACAAAAGAGGCACATGAAATGTGAGAACAGATCCATAGGAAGGGCAATCCCTGGTTCCCAATTTCAGCACCCCACAAACCGAAACAGGAGATGTAAGCAAGCTATTGTACTATACTCTCAACCTCTGTCCCGCACTGCACATATCTTGATGGAGCTGACATAAACTTCTGTAAGGATTCAATCAGATACAGTGTGTGTGAATCACTTTCCAACACTTGAAACTGCAAAGTATGCGAGAATGGATTATGGCTTCCAAGTTTTGTCACCGACCCCTCTCATACAATTAACAAGCATGGACAAAGGAAATATACTGACTAACGCTAGGCTCAGGGAAAGGAAAAGATAATATACTCTAATACACAAAGATAATGAAGTCTTTTACAAGACCATATTCCTTCCCAGAAACAACTGTTAGGAAAAAGATTCATTACTGACTGACTGGAGTCGTCGTTAGGCTGTGGTTATTAGGTTCATTTGCCTCCATTCTTTTTCCTCAACTAGATTCACAGGGCAAAGTAGCCTGCATGTTTAAGATATTGTCTAGAGCAGCCTTTCTCAATCTTCACAGCTTTTATACAGTATGGGTAGACTTCAGATCTCAGAACTGCCCAGTCCATGTATCTTAAAGTTGCCAAGGTTGAGATACACTCGAGAGAATACAATTTTGTCCTAAAATAAGCTGAGACAATTGCAACTCCGGGATCACTTAAACCTCTCAGCCCAAGTTCAAAGCCTCCGTACAAGCAACTCATATGTCTGGAAGAATTATTCTTCCCTTCCAAGGAAGAAGGGGGAAAACGGTATCTTCATGCCTGTTAAGATCTTACAGCAATATGCAGTTTCTGAGAAGGTTCATGGGGTAATCACAGAACCAGGTTCTCCTCTTCTGCCTTAGTTGATTATGAATTGTTAGCCAGGGACAGGTCCATCCAGGCTAACACAAATAAATACCATATGTTTTTACTATGCACAGGCTTACCTATTACTAGTAGCCCTTGACTTAAAATAGTTCATATCGTGACCATCTGAAGTTACAACAGCATTCTTCATACAACCATTATACCATCTCCATGGTCACGTGATCCAAATTTCTGACAAGAAAAGTCAATCGGGAAGCCAGATTCACTTAACGGTATTACTAACTTAACTGCAGCGATTCAACTGTGGCAAGAAAAGTCATAAAATAGGGCAAAATTCACTTAACTGTCTCACTTAGAAACAGAAACAGCTCAATTGTGGTCATAAGTTGAGGACTACCTGTACCTGTTTTCCCATGTTTGCAGTCATTCCTCCACAGGAACCAATTCTCCTCAGCCCTCCCCTCCTTATCCCTCACCTGGTTTTCTCGGCATTGTTCTTTCTGCATTTGCCACACAGCCTGCAGCTGCTCAGGGCTCATCCCCTTCCAGCGGTCAGTTATCACACGGTGTGGCCCCAACAAGCTTTTAGCAACGCTAGGGTCTTCCAACAGGAGATTGCCAGTCAGATGGTTGTGGATCTCAGCATAGTTATCATCTTGCTCACGCTGCTGGGATACACGTTGCTGCTCCGCAACCTCTGCAGCCTGGTTCAGGGGGCAAAAGAAAGGAGATGAGCTACAAAGGGGCTGGTATTCCTTTTACCCCCCCACTCCACTTAGTCAGCTGTTGGGGTACAGCAGGAAC